GCTAGGAACCAGATTACAAAACTCTTTATAGCTACGTTATAAGCAAGGCACTAGAAAATAAAGTGCCTTGGGGAATAAAGTTTGTGGCTTTAGTGCTATCTCTGTGTGTTTGAGGGAGTTTGTGGCTATTTCTTCTTTCCAGGTTTGGGGAAAATTTCCAGAGAACAGAAGTTGCCAGAAACCTGTCCTGGGGTTAAGTGCTGTGCTACTGAATATTTGCCTGGGATCAGGCCAGGCCTCAAAATCCCCTGTGCCCACACCAACTCCCTGGCTCAGACAGCTCTGAGTGACAGAAAATTGGGAAGAATAACCAAGAATAAACAGGAGGCCGTGCCAGATTCTTCTTTCAGAAAGTGAAGTGCTGACAAAGTAAGGGCTTGGGGAATCTGCTCTAACCTCCAACAGAGGAGCATCTCTGCACTATCCCCAAAACTGTGAAGCACTGAGGAAATTAAAAAGGTGAATTCTCAGAACTAGAACAAAAAAATCTTAAAATTTGTATGGAGACAAAAAAGACCCCGAATAGCCAAAGCAATCTTGAGAAAGAAAAACGGAGCTGGAGGAATCAGGCTCCCTGACTTCAGACTATACTACAAAGCTACAGTAATCAAGACAGTATGGCACTGGCACAAAAACAGAAATATAGATCAATGGAACAGGATAGAAAGCCCAGAGGTAAACCCAGGCACCTATGGTCAAGTAATCTATGACAAAGGAAGCAAGGATATACAATGGAGAAAAGACAGTCTCTTCAATACGTGGTGCTGGGAAAACTGGACAGCTACATGTAAAAGAATGAAATTACAACACTCCCTAACACTATACACAAAAATAAACTCAAAATGGATTAAAGACCTAAATGTAAGACTGGACACTGTAAAACTCTTAGAGGAAAACGTAGGAAGAACACTCTTTGACATAAATCACAGCAACATCTTTTTTTACCCACCTCCTAGAGTAACGAAAATAAAAACAAAAATAAACAAATGGGACCTAATGAAACTTAAAAGCTTTTGCAGAGCAAAGGAAACCATAAACAAGACCAAAAGACAACCCTCAGAATGGGAGAAACTATTTGCAAATGAAGCAATGGACAAGGGATTAATCTCCAAAATATACAGACAGCTCATGCAGCTCAATATCAAAAAAACAAACAACCCAATCCAAAAATGGGCAGAAGACCTAAATACACATTTCTCCAAAGAAGATATACAGATTGTCAACAAACACATGAAAGAATGCTCAACATCACTAATCATTAGAGAAATGCATATCAAAACCACAATGAAGTATCACCTCACACCGGTCAGAATGGCCATCATCAAAAAGTCTACAAACAATAAATGCTGGAGAACATGTGGAGAAAAGGGAACCCTCTTGCACTGTTGGTGGGAATGTAAATTGATACAGCCACTATGGAGAACAGTATGCAGTATGGAGGCTCCTTAATAAACTAAAAATAGAACTACCATACGACCCAGCAATCCCACTACTGGGCATATACCCTGAGAAAACCATAATTCAAAAAGACACATGCACCCCAATGTTCATTGCAGCACTCTTTACCATAGCCAGGTCACAGAAGCAACCTAAATGTCCATCGACAGATGAATGGATAAAGAAGACATGGCACATATATACAATGAACTATTACTCAACCATAAAAAGGAATAAAATTGGGTCATTTGTAGAGACGTGGAGGGATCTAGAGCCTGTCATACAGAGTGAAGGAAGTCAGAAAGAGTAAAATAAATATCGTATATACATGGAATCTAGAAAAATGGTACAGATGAACCTGTTTGCAAGGCAGAAATAGAGACACAGACGTGAAGAACAAACGTACGGACACCAAGCAGGGAGGGTGGGGTGGGATGAATTGGGAGATTGGGATTGACATATATACACTATTATGTATAAAACAGATAACTAATGAGAACCTGCTGTATAGCACAGGTAACTCCACTTAACGCTCTGTGGTGACCTAAATGGAAAGGAAATCCAAAAAAGAGGGGATATATGTGTACATACAGCTGATTCACTTCTCTGTACAGCAGAAACTTACACAGCATCGTAAAGCAACTATACTCCAATAAATAAATAAGTAAATAAAACACGTGCGTACACAGATTTTACCAGAAAAATAAAAATAAAAATAAATAAACATAAAAAGGTGAATTCTCATGCTTAGGCAGATCCAGAGAGAAACCCAATGACATAAAAAAATGCACTAATCAATTTTTAAGCACATGATACCTTATTGTTAACTACAGGCACTACATTGTACTGCAGACCTCTGGAGCTTTCTCATCTTGTACTATATATCTGTAACTTTATACCTATTGAACACCAACCCCCTCCCCATATCCCCATCCCCCCATCCCCTGGCAACCACCATCCTTACTTTTGACTATTTTAGATGCCTCATATAAGAGGAATCATGCAGTACTTGTCCTTCTGTGACTGACTTAGTTCACTTAGCATAATGTCTTCTAGGTCCATTCACATGTCCAAACTCACCAAATTATACATATATTATTTGCAGTTTTTTACATACCAATTACACCTCAGTGAAGCTGGAGAAAAAATAACTAAGCCATGGGCTCTACCTTCCAGCAAAGCAAAAATGCACTAAACAGAAGTAAGGTAAATAAAGTGAATTTTGAAGTTTCTTAACTATGGTAATACTTGAGACCCTTGAGGTCTTTCTTTAAAATCCTGGGAGAAAAACAACACATGCAATTTATAATGTAGTACCAATAGCCATCATGTGTTCCATGTTTTTACAATTTAGAAACCATTTTCATAGTCAATACTTCATTTGATAAACTGCAGAGAAGGCCATTCTCTCTCGCATCCTCAGCCATCACTTGTTACTTTAAGAAGCAACATTTGAAATTTTCTACTGTCTATATTATTGACAGCTAAATCCCCACTGTGTCCACATCCTCTGTAGACGAGGATTACCACAGGGTCCTGCTGGGAGAGCTGGGTCAGGCCCCAAAGGCCCAGCTACGCATAAGATATAAAAGGAGGATTGCCTAGATGCTGGGGTCCCTGCCTTCTGGGGACCTATAACCTCAGAGTCCTGCCTCTGCCAGACCATTAACACCCACACGATGCAGAGCAGTCTCCTTCAGCCTGTCCCAGTGTCCTTTTTAGCCCAGGATGGAGGTCATAATGCAGAATCCACAGGTCAGCATTTGATTACTTTGGCCTGGACATCAAACAACCAGCAGGATGATGACAAGGTTCATCTCTGAAACTTGATTTGACCATTCTTAAGGTAGAAGGGATAAAACTTGCCTCTACCTAGTTCCCAGATATTTGGAGATGATAAATGAAGTACTACAATGACATATTTTAGTTTTCAAGGTGAATTACTTTGAAGTCCTTGGAAAGATCACAGAAGGCTGAGAGAGTCTAACTGGCTCAAAGTTAAGTATCTTCGATCACTTACCAGTTTTACTAGAAATCATACACAACATCTCAAACTAAAGATATGGAAAAGAGAAAAAAGCTTAGGTTTTGATATTGGGAAGTAGGAGGAAACTTAGTGAGGAAAGTGTCAATCAACAGCAGGAGTATGAAACAGGAAGAGGAGGACATGAAAAAGTCAAAGTGAAGAATTAAAATTTTGTTTCTGGGAAAGAAAGGGGGGAATGTAAACAGCAACCATCGAACGATGTTCTCCCATAAAGAAAACACAAAGAAATTTTTTAAAGTGGTTCAATCTGGAATAACTGATAAGCAATTAAAAACACATCATAAAGGACATAATGCTTATATGTGTGAAATAAATTTAAATGGAAAACTCCAACCAAAGTGAATGCTGTACCTGAGTCTTAGAAATCTTTTAACCATAATGAGTTTGGCAGTGATTCTAGAAGGTAAGGGGATGTGATTTGTATCTCAGAACTGTCTATTTGGGTGAGTCTCATCCAGATTCAAGCTAACAAGACCCACACAGAGTATCGCAATGAAGCCAAAGGAGAGAAAGGAAAAACTAACCATCCTGCCCCTCTTTCAGATACAGCCCTGCCTAACCCCTACCTCCTTATGTTGCTGCCCCTTCACACCCTTCTAAGCCAACCAGTTAACCAGCCAAGCAGTCACCCTGTGGCTAACTTACTTACATCTGGTCTAGGGCCTACCCTGCAGAAAGACACACATGCCGGAGGCAAGGAAGCTGAGCTGCAATTCTGGCAGATGTGCACTCCCTGGATTGGTCTACACTGATTCCAGCCACCCCCTTCCTCTGGAAGACACTAAAGGCAGTAAGAGTAAACTATTATTTCCTTAGTTTCCTCACGCCTGTGATTCCAAGGGAAAATAACAACAACAGAAGAAAACTGTTGCAAGAGCTGGGCAGCCGAAGTCACCAAGTACCACAGGATCCGTTTTTATACACACACACACACACACACACACACACACACACACACACTCTAGTATACTCTAGTGGTTATGGTTCAGCTAAACACGCTAAGTCAAGACAGGAGAAGGCAACCACTTTTTTACTCTCAGGTCCCTTCTGGGAATTTGGTCCTCACTTCTAGTGAGAAATCTGGAAATGGCTCTACTGGTCATCCTCCTCCTGGGAGAAGGACCATCTTAACTGTGGAAAACTTGGCTTTGGGAGGGGAGTGAGTTCCCTATCTCAGTGATACTCCTGGACACTGGGGGAATTCTGCTCCCTCAATCTTGTCAGAGGGTTTGCCGTAAATTAATTTATGGTGACTCAACCCTGGGGCAGTAGGACCACTAGAGACATGGACAGCCTGCCCCAACCTTGTGAGAACTTCGTAAACACAACTCTTGCACTTTCTCATCAAACACTCCCTCAGTTCCAGTCAGACCTGGAACCTGGGACTAGAGTGACAAAGGTGTCTGACCTGGGGGCAATTCTTCTGTTCATATGAGTGTGACTCTCAGGACAGAGCAGAAGTGAGAATGTGTGCTTCATGGTGAGCGACGAGGGAGGACAAGGAAAAGGACTGTACCTGTCAAACAGGTGAGCGCTGCCCGTCCTGTCCCCTTTCCTTAGATAAAACAAGTGCTGTCTGTCCGGTTGGAGAGCTGGTTTGGTCTTCACAGTCCAGGCTGTTACAGAATTAGAAAAGCAGCATCACTCATACATTCCCTGAGAGTGGGGTGGGAAGTTAAGGGTCAGTTGGTACCCAGGGGATGTAGCAGAGACTGTTAACAGCCACCAAATACACCAAGTATGCTTCTACGTACCCCTTGCAGTTAGATTGGGGCGAAGTGATTGGTTCCTGCCACTGAAATATGTGAAGTGATGTGTGTCAGGGCTGGGATGAGGCAACTAAGGCATACGGGTTTCCAGCTGTCTCTTCCTCTGCCATGATGCCCCTGGAGGTCACGTGTGCCAGATGGCATTGCAACAAGATTAAAGAGAGCCAACCAGTCTGCATCAAACCTTATTTACGTGAGCAACAAATAATCCTGTGTTGTTTATTTGTTACTGCGTCAGAGTCTACCCTATCCTGACTAATACAGGAGCCAAAGTAGCGGCCCATCCCCGATGCCAGAGACTTTAGTGCACTAAGTTTAACCTAGTCACACTTACTCACAAACTCTAAGAGGATGATTGGATCTCACATGTTTTCCAAGACTTTCTTCAACAAAACATTGTCTCTGAGGGAGGATGGTTCAGCCTAAAACAGTAACTTCAAGTGTAAAGGCCACCTTTCCCAAGACATGTGTCTTCAAAATATCATAAAGCATCCAAAACTCATTCAATGGCTCATGAAATCTCTTCCCAGGCACCTATAACCTCCTGCTGTTTCCCATTTTACTAACACCCCTGGACACAAATGCTGGCTTATAGCCTCTATAAACAGAAGTTCCTCATAAGTTCAGGTTCCCATAAAAATCAAACAAGAGAAAAGTGAAAAAAGAGCCACCAGTAAGTTTCTCTCTGTCGAGACCATCTCAGTTTCGTGAGGGCCCTGGTTCAATTCACTTTTCAAGTTTGGAATAGGAAAAAAGAGGAGCTTCCCTCACTCATTGTCTCTAAAGTGTCTGGATCCCTCTTGGAGAGCCAGCAAGGCCAGCATGAGGTAGGAGGCACATCGCTTTAGAGCTTGAACTCAAAGGGCTGGGGATGCTTCTGGCTGGGCACTATTCACAAGCTGCTGAAAGCCCTACCTTTCAGAGCACCTACCAACTCAGATGACAAGGACCCTGTATATGACTACTTGTTGTACGTGACCAAAACGTGTCTTTAAAAACACGTCTTTCAAAGGCAGGTCACATTATCAGTGTAAGTTTGAGAAATTACACACATATATTTTTCTCGGGCTGGGACTGGATGGAAATGTTCATGTATTCATCTCCTAAGAGAAGGCCTGTCTGGTGGTTAGGGGCTGCACGAAAGCCACGGCCTGGGCCCGTGCTCCGCACCCAGAATCTTCTGGCGGGAGGGGATGGTCAGAGAAGTACTTACTCTCTGACCCAGAAGGCCTCTTCTGAGCATTGCCCAATGCTCCTGTTATACAACATGCAAAATAAATAACCAACCTTAAAAGTCAGGCAGCCAAAACTCTACTCAATAATAAGCCCTTTTACAAGCTGCTTATCACTTGCCAAAATCAGCTCCAGAGGAACACCAGGAACTCTGAATTCTATTGTTCTTATGAACTACTTGGGGAATATAGACAAGCTTCACTGGCTTTATTGGTTTTCTAAGAGACAAAAGACAAAGGTTTTCATCTACCCATACTCTGACCTTGATCTCAAGAATGCAAATACAGCCCCATCCCACCATCTCAGAGAGGTCCCTATTACTAGTGTGAGTTAGAAAGGGGTCCTGATCTTTTCCTAGAAAACACACCGCTCTCTGCTTTCCCTCTCACCTGATTGTTGGGGTGAGGAAGGGAAGATAAATGCCAACCTTTTCAGAAAATTCACTGGGAGGGAGGGAGAGGGCAGGACAGAGACACCTGGAATGCGGTCTTCTGCCTGCGAGGGCTCTCTGGCTTAACTACAAAAGGAAAGAGGAGTTTTGCTCAAGGAAAACTGTTCAAAACCATTTTTGGTACACTTAGGTTGGCCTGATGATACGTTGTTGTTGGCCCAGAATGGTTTCTCTGGGTTTCCAAATACACGGTGGAGCCTCTCGTTAAGGGGTCTTGTTAAAGAAATTGATGGCAGAAATCTGTTATAAAACTCATTTCTGATGAACCACAAAAGGGATTTTGATACCCATGTGGCATTCTTATTCCAGGATCCTCAACCCACAGATGCAAAGCTCAGGATGTACCTGCTCTAGAAAACCTTACTGCCCTCCCATTTCCCCTCATTGCTCCCTTCCTCTGCCAGGCTCTACACATACTGACTTGTTGCCTTCACTAGCTGAGAGGTTTTCTTAGAGCAGGAACCAAGCCGTGCTCCCCTCTGCATCTCTATTGTCTAGCACAGTCCACGGAACATGGTACGTGTTTATTAAATCATTTAATTAATGATAAGATTAACAATAAATATAGTTAATATCGTGTTTAACTTCCTATATTTTTTCTCATTTTCCAGATGAAGAAGCTGAGGCAATGAGGGGTTAAGAAGCTAATAAGTGGCTAAGCAATGACACAAACTAGGCCATCAGGCCCTAGAACCTTCATTCTTAACCGCTACATGGAGCAGTACACAGCAATAAATAAGTGAGCTGATGAAAGGGCTATACACATATGAAACCGTTAAACGTGAACCTGGTTTAGTCACACAAAAATGTGTTAGGCACCTAGCACTCTGTGCCAAGCCCAGTGCTAACATAAGGGCATCATCTTATTCCTCAAGGAGAAGAGAGACAAATAACGAAAGCTTATTGAGCACTTACTACATGCTGGGCACTGTTCTAAGTACTTCACACATATTCTTTCCTCTTTACAAAATCCCCATGAGGGCACTACTACTACTATTATTTTATATTGAGATAAGACAGGTGAGAAACTGAGGCACAAGGAGAGTAAGCAATTTGCAAGAAGCACTATTTAAACCCAAGCAGCCTAGCTCCAGAGCCCGTGCTCTTATCCACTACACTGCTGCGTTTTCTGTTTGCAACCACACACAACTCAGCGTAACATGTGCGAGAAGAGAGAAAGAGAAAAAGTGGTATCGAAACTCAGGGAAGGAAATGGTTCATTTTGCCTGAGACGGGGCTCACAGAAGGCTCTGCAGAACAAGTGACACTTGAGCTGGGCCTTGAAGACATGAGAATCGGAAACAAGTTCAAATAAAAACAGGACATGGAGACCAGTAAAACTTGTATGTGTTTTCCAAGCCATCAGCACCAAAACACAGAGCTAAGAAGCAAGCCTGGCCCGACAATGGCTTCTGCTGCTGAGGTTACTTCTTGCCAAGGAACAGGGATGTCATTTGTGGAACTGTGACCTGAATTTTTATGTCACTTTTCCCACTTGGTTCAAACTCTACCTAGGGTTTTGTCATGCTCACAGTATCTACAGAAATTTCTTTTCCTCTCCCTTCTCTAGATAATAAGAGATAATAATGTTTCTGGAAGCGGATCTACAGGCTGTCTTCAGTGTAACTGAGGCCAGGTCCTTCAAGGTTGGCAAAGGAGGCTGGAATCACCCAGTGGACAAGGGGGATGGCTAGAGCTCATGGCCCCAACCATTTCCACACGTGGAGATACTCTCCCTTTCCCTAACTGCAGAGGGTCTGAGTCCAGTTTTAGTAAAGGCTGCCCACGGGTTTCCTTAGAGTTTGTTCCACTCAAACCCACTGGCAACTTCCCCTCCCTCAACATCTAGCTTCTCTGACGGTTACTGGCTACTATGCCCAGAAACGCATGTGACTACGGACTAGTGAACTCCAACGACCAGTGAGTACTCCTGGGGCAAACGTTCCATTATTTCTCCCATTCTGAGTTTATTTTTGTGGATGGTGTGAGGGAGTGTTCTAACTTGATTGGTTTACACGTGGCTGCCCAGCTTTCCCAGCACCACTTGCTGAAGAGACTGTCTTTTCCCCATCGTATATTCTTGCCCCCCTTTGTCGTAGATTAATTGACCACAGGTGCGTGGGTTTACCTCTGGGCTCTATTTCTCCCATTCTGATACCTTCTTTTGACCCCCTCTCCCACACACCATTCCAGTTACTGCCTCATCTCCCTCCTCTTCTTGACAGCAAACCTCTTCAAAAGATTTGTCTATATTCCCCGTGTACAATTTTTCTCTTCCCCTTCTCCCTTGAACCCACTCCAATCAAGCTTTTGTCCACTGAAAAGGCTTTTATCCGGGCCACTACTGGCCTCTATGTTGCTAGAGTCCACTGAATATTCTTGGTCCTCATCTTGCTTGGCCAACCAGAAGCACTTCTCACAGCTGATCATCCCCCCTTCCCAGAAGCACGTGGCTTCTTCACGTGGCTTCTGGGGCGCACCATTCTCTTCCGGTTTTCCTTCCATCTTCCTGGCCACTCCTTGTCAGTCTCCTTTGCAGGTTCCTCATTGTCTTCCAAACCTCTGGCTGTGGGAGTGCCCCAGGGCGGGGTCCATGGTCCCCTTCTCTTAAGTATCCTCACTCCCAGTGATTTCATCCATCTCACAGCTTTAAATACTATCTAGATGCCTATGACTCAAGAATGTTTATCTCCAGCCCTAACCACGCCTGTGAGTGCCAGGCTCATACATCCCACAGTTCACTCCTCATCTAAGTTAGACTTAGATGTCTAACTGGCATCTGAAATTCAACATATCCCAAAGTCAACTTCCAATATACTCCCAACCTTGTCTACCCACAGTCTTTATCGCTGCAGTTAGTGGCAACTCCATCGTTCCAGCTGCTCAGGATGAAAACCTTGGCATCGTCTCGAACAGAAACACTGTGTTATACAACTCCAGAGGGCACGAGCCACATTTTATGCAATGCTATTGGTGTTATGTAACATGGTGACCCTGTTTTCCTTGATTCCTCATTCACATCCCACATCTGATCTGTTAGCAAATCCAGTTGGCTCTACCTTCAAGATATACCCCCAAATCCAACAACTTCTCCCAAATTCCGCTGTTACCAGCCTGGCCCAAGCTTATCCCCTTAAACATAACGTATTATCCAAAAAACAAAAGTGATCCTTTTAAAACATGTCAGATCACACCATTCTAACTCAAAATCCCCCACTGCTTCCCATCTCACTCATAGTAAAAATCAAAGTTCTTACAATGGCCTTCAAGACCTTGCATTATTTGTTCTTTTTAGCACTTATCCCTATCTAATATACTACATATTATTATCTATCTAACTTACTTCTTATTATCTGTTGCCCACATATGAAATAAGCTCCATGAGGTCAGAGACTTGGTCGGTCTTGTTCACAGATGAAGCCTCAGCATCTATAACAATATCTGACACAAAGCATATGCTCAGTATATATCTGTAGAAGAAATAAAGGATTGGGAAGAGGGAAATCTTTACACATGGGCCAGAATCATACCAGAACCCAATATAACAAGTGAAATGGCATTTGGGTCAACTGGTGCTGAGACCAAGTCAAGTCCCAAGAGATGTATGTGCAGTTCTTACTTCCTATTATTTGTTTTCCCGTTGCTTTGATATTTTGCCTGATGAGGTCTCCTTTCTTTTGCCTCTAAAGAAAAAAAAATTGACCTAGCTATAGTAAGGAGCTCCCCCTGGTGGAAGCAGCTCCATCAAAGGAATGGCAAAGAAAATCATAGAAAACAGGCTTTAAGTTACAAAGGAGATCGCTGGAGACAAAGGAGTGACTCCAGCATTTCACAGGAAAAGTCCTTACTAGAAACAAGAGAAACTAAAGGTTAGATTCAAGGTACATGGGGAAACTTATCAACTTATTCTACTGTGGAACCTCTTTTGCATCTGGTGATGAGAAAGAAAATAATTCATTTAAAGTTGAACAACCTAAGTACCTTCCCTCAAGGAATTTAAAATCTGGTAGAGGAGGTAAGTCATGAATACAAATAAGTACAGGGGCTTCCCTGGTGGTCCAGTGGTTAAGACTCCACGATTCCACTACAGGAGGCACAGGTTCAATCCCTGGTCAGGGAACTAAGACCCCACATGCCACTCAGCCAAAGCAAACAAACAAAATAAACAAATAAGTACAAAGCAATGAGTATAACAGTGAAAGAGTGAATGGGGGCTAAATAAAAGGAATAAACTAAGAGCTATGACTTACCTAGGAAAAAGAAGGATTACTTTAGGCTGAGTAAATCCAGGAAGACAACTTGGAGGAGGTGGTTCTTGAGCTGAGCCTTGAAAAACAGACAAATTTTTATTGAGCGTAAATGTAGGGAAGGGCACATCATGTGGAAACCCAAGTTGACCAACGGAACCCTGTAAAGGTCACAATTTGAGTGACAACACAGAATTCAAACTCGTAAAAAGAGCAGAGAGGGATTCTCAAGAGAAAACTCCTTGGCAGAGGTAGACACAGGAGGGAACCAAAGAAAGCTCCTTTCCTTGTTTTCCCTTGGGTGAGAGGAACACTATTAAAAACTATAGAGGAGGGGCTTCCCTGGTGGCGCAGTGGTTGAGAGTCCGCCTGCCGATGCAGGGGACACGGGTTCGTGCCCCGGTCCGGGAAGATCCCACATGCCGCGGAGCGGCTGGGCCCGTGAGCCATGGCCGCTGAGCCTGCGCGTCAGGAGCCTGTGCTCCGCAATGGGAGAGGCCACAACAGTGAGAGGCCCGCGTACCGCACCAAAAAAAAAAAAAAAAAAAAAAAAACTATAGAGAAAAAAAAGATAAAATACAATCTCCATGATAAATGGTCCAGCTTCCATACTAGAGGATTTAGAATCCACAAAACTAATGAAAAAGCCCATATAGACATGCAGGGTCTATTCTGTTCTATATTTTATCTGAAGGTAATGTGCAGAGAACATCCTTTTCAAATGAGGCTGGTCTCCCTTCTATTCCCTCCTGTGCAATGTCCTTCCTGTGGAGATGCCAAAATGCATGCTGAATCCATCCACCCCTCTCAATTTCCACTGCCATCCCCCTAGTCTGAGCCACCATCATCTCTCCCCTGGTCTAGTGCCACAGTCTCCTGACTGGTCCCCCCACTTATAGTCTGGCCCCTCTGTAAGCCACGCTGCACACGGCAGTCAGATCAACCTAGGGATATTTGGAGGTGAGGTAAATAACTCATGTTTCATTTTCTTTTTTTTTAAATTTATTTTTATTTATTTATTTATTTTGCTGTGCCAGGTCTTAGTTGTGGCACGTGGCATCTTCATTGCTGCGTGTGGGATCTGTAGTTGAGGCAAGCGAACTCTTAGTTGTGGCCTGGGGGATCTAGTTCCCTGACCAGGGATCAAACCCGGGCCCCCTGCATTGGAAGCGTGGAGTCTTAGCCACTGGACCACCAGGGAAGTCCCTCATGCTTCATTTTCAACTTTTCATTTTGGAAGTACAGACAATGAAAAAAGTAGCAAAATAGCACAAAGAATTCTCATATACCTTTCACTCAGATTCTCCAAATGTTAACATCTTCCATAACCACAGTACAATATTATAAATCAGGAAATGAACATCCATACAACACTATAACCTAATCAACAGACTATTTGATTTTCTCCAATTGCCCCAACAATGTCCTTTTTCTAGTCTAGGATCACACCTGTCTCCTTCAGCTCCTTTAATCTGGCATAGTTCACTAGTCTTTTTTTTTTTTTTTTTTTTTTGGTTTTTCATTACCATGACACTTTTGAAAAATACTGACTGGTTTCAATTTTGGGTTTGTCTGATGGTTCCTCGTGACTCAATTTAGATTATTTGTTTTGGCAAGAATACTACAGATGTGATGTTGTGTCCTTCTCAGTGCATCCTACCAAGAGGCACATGGTATCAGTTTGTTCCACGACTATTGATCTTAACTCTGATCATTTGGTTAATGTGGTGTCTGCCAGGTTTCTCCCCAGTGAAGTTACTATTTTGCCCTTTGTAACAAATAAGCATTTTGTGGGGAGATACTTTGAGACTATAAACATGTATACTGTTTTTCATCATACTTTTGTCCATTTTGTGGAGAAAAGGGAACCCTCTTGTGCTGTTGAGTGGGATTGTAAACTGGTGCAGCCACTATGGAAACAGTATGGAGGTGCCTAAAAACTTAAAAATAGAACTGCCACATGATCCAGCAATTTCACTTCTGGGTGTTTATGTGAAGAAAACAAAAACTCTAATTTGAAAAGATATATGCACGCCCATGTTCATTGCAGCATTTACAATAGCCAAGATATGGAAGCAGGGCTTCCCTGGTGGCGCGGTGGTTGAGAGTCCACCTGCCGATGCAGGGGACATGGGTTCGCGCCCCGGTCCAGGAAGATCCCACATGCCGCGGAGCGGCTAGGCCCGTGAGCCATGGCCGCTGAGCCTGTGCGTCCGGATCCTGTGCGTCCGGATCCTGTGCTCCGCAATGGGAGAGGCCACAACAGTGAGAGGCCCGCGTACCGCGAAAAAAAAAAAAAAAAGATATGGAAGCAATCTAAGTGTCCATCGACAGATGAATGGATAAAGAAGATGGGGTGTATACAAAAACAGACACACACACACACACACACACACACACACTGGAGTATTACTCAGCCATAAAAAAGAATGAAGTTCTGCCATTTGCAGCAACGTGGATGGACCTAGAGAATATTATGTTAAGTGAAATAAATCTGACAGAGAAAGACAAATACTGTATGATCTCACTTACATGTAGAATGTAACAAACAAAACAAAAACAGACTCACAGATACAGAAAACAAACAGGTAGTTACCAAAGGGGAGGAGGGTGGTGGGAGCAAAATAGGAGACGGGAATAAAGAGGAACAAGCCTCCGGTTATAAAGTAAATAAGTCACAGGGATGTAATATACAGCATAAGGAATATGGCCCATAATATGTAATAACTTTGTACGGGGACAGATAGTTACCAGACTTATCACGGTGATCATTTCATAATGTATGCAAATGTCAAGTCACTCTACGGTACAACTGAAACTAACATAATATTGCATGTCAACTATATTTCAATTTAAAAAAAGAATTCCAATCTTGTAAGTAACTTAGAGTCATCTGAAATTGGGAACACTGGCACATGCTCATAAATCTCAGAAGAGAATGAAGTTTATAAATTACAACATCAATTTATTAATTTAACTGTTAAGTGGGCACTCTTTCCCCACAGGCTTGCCTACTAAGACAGTTTTCTGGTGAGCCTAGAACAGGGATCCACAAACTTTTCCTTTTAAAGGGCCAGCTAGTAAATTTTTTTGATTTTGTGGGTCATATACTCACATCTGTCACAATTACTCAACTCTGCCACTGCGGGGCAAAAGCAATGATAGACAATAAGTAAACAAAGAAGTATGGCTGTGTTGCAATAAGACTTTATTTACAACAATAGACGTCAGGGTTTCTAGAGCCCTGGCCTAAAATAAGAATAAGAGGAGTAGTAGTTACATGATTCAAATGCTTGATCACATCAGGCTTTTGTAGCCTGATGTGTCCATCAATGGAGGAGATAAACCTGTCTCCGCTATCAGATTAGACACACTGCTTAGCTGGACACTGCCAATGTTTGCCTCTCTAGTCCTCCTTTTTAAATGCCAGCCACACTTCAAAAATCCCACCCCATCCTAAAGCCTTGAGTATAAGAAAGCTCTACTTACCAGTAAAACTCTCAGGGAAATGCCAGCAGCCTCAGTTTACATTCTGCAGCTATTTCACGGAGAAAACCTTGATCCTTTGTTACCTTCGGGGTGGGGCGGGGGGAAGAGCACCCTCCATTCTTACTTGTGTTCCCCTGGAAAAAAAGTGACAGATTTGGCAATATTAATACTTATAAGAGGCACTAGTGTGTAAGCTCCATGAAGAGAGAGATTACTTTTTAAATTAGAAAGAATCGCTTATTTTTACAAAAGCAGTGTATGTTTGTTCATTGTGGAAAATTAGAAAACAAAAATTAATAGAAACATTACATTTCTACCACCCAGAAATTACCACTGTTAACAGCTTAGTATATATCCTTCCAGATCTTTTTCTAAGTATATATAATATGTATATGTACTTCCTACCAAAATGAGGTAATGCATGTGCATAATGCTTTTTCTCAACTAACGACCTCCACCATTCCACGTTAAGAAGTTTTCATCTCATCTAAGACCCATCCATATTCATATCCGCTTACTTTTCCCCAAAATGTCCTATAAAGCTAGTCTGTTCAAATTAAGATCCAACCTCAGACCACACATTGCAAGCTAAGTCTCTTTTCATTTAGAACAGTATCCTTTTTTCAGGACAGGAATTTTGTTTCCCAATGTATCCTCAATGCCTTTAACAGTTCTCGGTACACAGGAGTAGATCAAATATTTGCGTAATTAAGTAATTAATAAAAGGCTTAGGAGATGGGGGGCTTTCGCCCTCGAGCTTATCTCAACCACCCATACCCTTTATCTTCACTTTATAGATAATAAAAATCAAGGCCAGAGAAGTAAAGGGACTTCCCAAGGTCACCCAGCAAGTACATGGCAATTTCTCGGTTTCTTCTGTTAAACCAGGAGTTGGCAAACTTTTTCTGTGAAGGTCAGATAGTAAATATTTTAGGCTATATGGGCCAAGAAGCAAAATCGAGGATATTATGTAGGTACTTATATAGTGACAGAAAAAAAATTCCATAAATTCTTTACTGATGAAACTCAAAATATAATAATAATTGATTATACGGTTTTGTAATACAGGTCTACTAATGAAAAAATGGAATTGAAGAATAATATTTTGTTTTATTGCGGTTGAAACTTAGTGTTCCCTATCATCAAACTGATTGTAAATGTTCATCTGAAAAAACATTCTTAGCTGCCAGGTCATAGTGTGCCAACCTCTGTCCTATACTATGCTGCTTGTCTGTGATTTGGCTTTTTCTTTGAAAGTTTGAATGAAAATAACATTCTTCCTGATTGACGGTTGTAACTGGGTTCTGGCTTATTGAAGTTATATGGTATGAAAATACCAATGAGGAAAACAACTCCTTGGCTGCTCCTTTAAAATGTATATCTTGTCTTACTTCCGTTACTCTGGTACCTAACTGTTGGTAATGACTGTCTTCTTTCATTTAAATGGTAAGGTAGGTTGCACTGACTGTGGCTTTCACGATTAACCATGTGATAATATTAAATGGGGCTGGGACTTCCCTGGTGGCGCAGTGGTTAAGAAACCGCTTGCTGGGCTTCCCTGGTGGCGCAGTGGTTGAGAGTCCGCCTGCCGATGCAGGGGACACGGGTTCGTGCCCCAGTCCGGGAAGATCCCACATGCTGCGGAGCGGCTGGGCCCGTGAGCCATGGCTGCTGAGCCTGCACGTCCAGAGCCTGTGCTCCGCAACGGGAGAGGCCACAACAGTGGGAGGCCCCCGCACGGCAAAAAAAAAAAAAAAAAAAAAAAGAATCCGCCTGCCAATGCAGGGGACACGGGTTCGAGCCCTGGTCCGGGAGGATCCCACATGCCACGGAGCAGCTAAGCCCCTGCGCCACAACTACTGAGCCTGCACTCTAGAGCCAGTGAGCCACAACTGCTGAGCCCGCGTGCCACAACTACTGAAGCCTGCGCGCCTAGAGCCCATGCTCCGCAACAAGAGAAGCCACTGCAGTGAGAAGCCCGTGCACTGCAACGAAGAGCAGCCCCCGCTCGCTGCAACCGGAGAAAGCCTGCGCGCAGCAACGAAGACCCAGTGCAGCCAAAAATCGATAAATACATAAATAAATAAATAAAAATATTAAATGGGTCTGACTGAGAAATCGCTGCAAGTGAGGATGGTGATTGTTTGGCCTATGTCAAGGCTGATAATTTTTCTTCTAAAATAAAAATATGCTATGCTATTTAAAGATATAGAGGTAAATATCCAAAGAGTTAAAAGAACAGAAACTATTGGTTTGGGGGAAGCAGGGAATGGGGAGGAAAGCTGGGGACTCCTCTTTTTAAAAATAGCCAACCTTGTAGAAGTATTTGACTTTTTAAAACTATGTACATGTGTAATTTTGATAAAAATACACAAAAGAAAACCAAGGCACATTAAAGCACCTTCTAGAAAAGGCTTTTTTAATACCTTCCTGTACACAAAAACAAACTCAAAATGGCTTAAAGGCTTAAATATAAGATATGACACCACAAACTCCTAGAAGAGAACATAGGCAAAACATTTTCTGACATAAATCATAGCAATATTTTCATAATTCAGTCTCCCAAGGCAAAAGACATAAAAGCAAAAATAAACAAATGGGATCTAATCAAACTTACAAGCTTCTGCACAGCAAAGGAAACCATAACAAAACAAAAAAGACAATCTACGGACTGGGAGAAAATATTTGCAAACAAAGGATTAATTTCCAAAATACACAAACAGCTCATACAACTCAGTATCAAAAAAACAAACAACCCAATCAAAAAAATGGGCAGAAGACCTAAATGGACATTTCTCCAAAGAAGACATACAGATGGCCAACAGGCACATGAAAAGATGCTCCACATCGCTAATTGTCAGAGAAACACAAATCAAAACTACAAAGAGCTATCACCTCACACCGGTCAGAATGGCCATCATCAAAAAATCTACAAATAATAAATGCTGGAGAGGGTGTGGAGAAAAGGGAAGCCTCTTGCACTGTTGGTGGGAATGTAAATTGGTGCAGCCACTATGGAAAACAGTCTGGAGGTTCCTTTAAAAACTAAAACTAGATTTACCATATGATCCAGCAATCCCACTCCCGGGCATATATCTGGAAAAAAACATAATTCGAAAAGATACATGCACGTCAATGTTTATAGTAGCACTATTTACAATAGACAATAGCCAAGAAATGGAAGCAACCTAAATGTCCACCGACAGATGAATGGATAAAGAAGATGTGGTACATATATACAATGGAATATTACTCAGCCATAAGAAAGAATGAAACATTGCCATTTGCAGCAACGTGAATGGACCTAGAGAATACCATACTAAGTGAAGTAAGTCAAACAGAGAAAGACAAATATTACATGATATCAAATATATGAAATCTAAAAACAATGATACAAATGATACAAAACAGAAACAGACTCACAGACATAGAAAACAAGCTTATGGTTACCAAAGGGGAAAGTGGGGGGAGGGGTAAATTAGGAATATGGCATTAACAGATACCTACTACTACCTATAAAATAAATAAACAATAAGGACTTACTGTATAGAGCAGGGAACTATATTCAGTATCTTGTAATAACCTATATTGGAAAAGAATTTGAAAAATATATAACTGAATCACCTTGCTGTACACCTGAAACTAACATAATATTGTAAATCAACTATACTTCAATTTAGAAAAGAATACTTTCCTCCATCCTCCCCCCTCCAGACTAGGTTAGGTGTCCCTCTTCTCTGCTCCCCATAGCATCCCTTGCTCAGCGCCATCAGAACACTTAACACACTGTACTGTAATTATCTGTTTCTCTACCTGTCTCCCTGAAGGGACTATATATGAGCTCCTTGCAAGGAGGGACCATGTATTATTCATTTGAGCTCCTAGATTAAAATATTAAAATAGGTATCCATTAAAGTGAAGTGAAACTAGCTAAATACCACTCAGTCTGGGCAAATTAACATCACAATGAGATACCAAACAAAAAGACAAAACAAGTGTTGGTGAGTATGTGGAGAAATTGGAACCTTCATACATTTACCGACGGGAATGTTAAATGATACAGCCACTTTAGAAAACAGTCTGGATATTCCTAAAGAAGTTAAACATGCAGTCACCTTATGACCCAGAAATCCCACTCCTAGACCAGGGAACAAGTGAACATGGTCCTTGCCCTTTCCAGTGTAGAGACAGAGAATGAACCCAAGCTTATAGGGCAGTGTGTTAAGTGTTATGACAGAGGTCTGCTAAGGGCACTATGGCAGCACCTGAGCAGGGCAGTGTAATCAAGAGAATTGAAAACATATGTCCTCACAAATGTTCACAATAGGATTACCCATGATAACCAAAAAGTGGAAATAAATGTCCATCAACTGATAGATGGATAAATAAATGCGGTATACCCATTCCATGGAATGTTATTCCGCCATGCACACATATATACAATGGAATATTACTCAGCCATAAAAAGAAACGAAATTGAGCTATTTGTAATGAGGTGGATAGACCTAGAGTCTGTCATACAGAGTGAAGTAAGTCAGAAAGAGAAAGACATATACCGTATACTAACACATATATATGGAATTTAAGAAAAAAAAATGTCATGAAGAACCTAGGGGTAAGACAGGAATAAAGACACAGACCTACTAGAGAATGGACTTGAGGATATGGGGAGGGGGAAGGGTAAGCTGTGATGAGGCGAGAGAGTGTGGCATGGACATATATACACTACCAAGCATAAGACAGATAGCTAGGGGGAGGCAGCCGCATAGCACAGGGAGATCAGCTCGGTGCTTTGTGACCGCCTGGAGGGGTGGGATAGGGAGGGTGGGAGGGAGGGAGATGCAGGAGGTAGGAGATATGGGAACATATGTATATGTATAACTGATTAACTTTGTTATAAAGCAGAAACTAACACACCATTGTAAAGCAATTATACTCCAATAAAGATGTAAAAAAAAAAAGCAATGAGGTACTGATACATGCTACAGCATGGATGAACCTGGAAAACATCATGCTAAGTGAAAGAAGCCATTCACAAAAGACCACATTTTGTAAAATTCCATTCACATGAACTGTTCAGAAAAAGCAACTATAGAGACACAGGGCAGTTACATGGTTGCTTAGGACTAGAGGTAGGAGGAGAGATTAACTACAAAGAGTCTTTTGGGAATTTGGGGAGGGGTGATAAAAATGCTCTACAACTGGATTCTGGTGATGGTTACACAACTCCATAAGTTTAGTAAAAACAAGTGTACATGTAAAATGATTGAATTTAGTGGTATGCAAAGCATAAAGGCTCTTTTTTTAAAAATATCCCTCAATCTATTATTTAGTTTCTCTCTAAATTAACTTTTTTCCTCCATGACACGACCTGGTAAGAACTGTGGTAAATGAAGTTTCTGAGGCATTTTTGTCAGTTGGGGTTTGGGGCTGTGCTGACAGAAACATCAAAGTCAGCCTCTCTGAATATTGCGTGATGAGGTGTACAATGCGTTTCCGGTTGGGTGATCCCAGTGTGTAATCTGGACAATCCGTGGTCTGCCAGTTTAAGTGTGAGTGCGCCAGGCCCCTACTCCAAGCAATAAACTGTAGTCAGGTAACAAATTCACTTCTTACAGCTCTCAAGCCTTGTTCACAACCAGGTGAATTGTTCTATTACAGCATATCTGTGAAAATGTTAGTGGTTTTTGTTTGTGTGTTTGGGGTTTTTTTTGGCAATTTGGTCAGTGCTTACTAGGCAAGGATGTCCTGCCAGAACAGCTGATAGATACTAACTCCACCCCTCCAGACCCGCCCCCTGGGATACTCCAGAGGAAAGCACACCTATCTAAGGGCGATGGGGGAGGTGCCAGGGGATGGAACAGCACCTCTCCGAGCTAGGGGAAAGGCTGGGACCGAGTCCCTCCTTCTTTGCGTTGCGGAATGGGCAAAAACTGCCACAAAGTAAGGGTGAGGTGTCTCCTCCCAGGGCCTCCTGGTGCCCGGGGAACTCACGCGTCTTCTTGCAGGGTCGCCAGGAGGTTACAGTTAACTGCGCCCAGACCTCAGTCGCTTTCGCCGCTACGGTCCCACCGTGTGGTCCGCGCACAGCGAAAGAAGGCGATGGAGGAAGACAAGCAGCCTGAGCAGGCTTGCAGCCGTCCGGAATTCCAAGCCGCGGTCCCCTACGCCCCAGCGCTCGGCTCCCTGACCACGTGACCGCCACCCCTCCCCGCACGCGCGATTATGTCTTGGCGCCCCCTGGTAGCCGGAAGCGGGCAAAACCGGCGCTGTTATCACCAGCTGGTCGGAGCATGCGTGGACTGGCGAGTGGCTTCCGGTCCGCGGGGCAGCCCAAGCAGAGGCGGAGGCATCTGCGGCGGAAGTGGCCGTGCCGCTGGCCCAGGGCGAAGCCGCGATTCCGAGGGGAGCTGACCCAGATCCAAAGTGGAGTAGGTGGAGGCGGCCTCCACCCCCTCCTCCTTTCTCCCCAAAGGGAGAAGAGCCGCAAAGAGGACAGAATGGTCAAATAATTATCTCGAACCTGGATGCCAGCTCCCTTCTGCAAAAACGGAACAGAATAAGGCAGCTTTGTTGATGATGGTTTTTGTTGACGTTCCGAAAAAATGCATTTGTAGCCGCATCGATATGAGCTAATTATTACCTCCCTGAGCCTCAGTTTCCTCCTCTTATAAAATAGGGATAATAATAGTACCAACTTCACAAGGTGTTTGTGAGGATTAAATAAAATAATCCACCCAAAGGGTTTACCAGACTGTTAAAGCTAGCTATTTAGTTGTTTCTCAGGATAAGAGTAGGTATTATCTTTCCTCGAGATTCAGAGAAACGAAAGGATTTTGACACTACCAAATAAACGTATACCTAAGGTGAATTATTCATAAAAATGTTTTGTATATGAGGAAACAGTCCATCCGTACACTCAGCCTGGACACAGAAACAAAAGCATGCCATACTATGTACATAAATGTGTCTTGCTAGTCCACTGTCTTCGTTGGCATTACTTTTCCAGGACTCCTCTGTCCAGGCAAATAGTTTCTTCACTACATCAACGTCCCCAAAGATCCATCAACTCTTCAATGGAAAGCAGCAACAGTTTGCTCTCTGAAATTCTTTAAGTCCCTCTCCTCAAAATCCTCCCCTTGCAGCTTCCACCAGTCCCAGACTGTTGGTCATGAGCCTTACCCAATCCTAATCAAGCCCCAGAGTTGAAAGACCTTCTGCCTTAAACCATGCTTTCATTTCTCAATAAATTCTGCCCTTTCTTTCCTCCCTGAAACACTGGCAAAGCTTTGTGAGGTGAGGGTTCTCCCTTACAGAGGTAAGTGATAAATTCAGCATTGTCATATCAACAGGTGCATTGGTGATATTTGGGGAGCCAGCACTTGACGGTTTTGAAGTCCCCACTGACATCCAGTGCCCCTGAGACCTCAGCACCACAGCTCAAGACCTTCAGCTTGGAAACAGCATGCTCCTCCCGCCTCTTGGACCTCCAGCTTGGGGCTCTCTGACCACAATGGTAAGGTACGTAGGTTTCACATTGGTTAGAGCTCTGATCCCTTGGAGCTCCCAGTTGCTGAGGATACTAGTCCTGCAGCCTGCACATGACCCCCTGTGAGAAGCCTGACCCCGCGGATTATAGGGCCCTCCTCTGTGTTCTGACTGTCCCCTGGCTCACCCCTGCCGTGGCTCTCACCACTCTTGTTTTATTCTGATGAGCTACTGCACTTAATAGTAAGCCAAGTGGGGCAGAGGATCCCTGCATTGTAATTGTGAGGTCAGCCTGTGATGTGGCTGGGGCCTGGGTGATTTTATGATAATGTCTTCCTCTACATCCACCACGCTCACCCACCATCCTCTAGCTGAGCTTCAGTTCTCTCCTTTCATTCGTATCTTCTAATGGTAAAAAGAGTTTTATCATTTTCTTTTCCTAAGCCTTTCAGATTTTACATTAACGTCCCTCATTTTATTTTCAGAAACGTTTCCACCAATTCTTTTGCTTTGTCTATGAAAATAATCATACTTACTACAATTAATGATCATTATTTGTCAGCCAGTAACAGCACAGTGTTTATTTCTTGTATTTGGCGGGGGGGTGTTTTTATATTTGCTCAGGCTTTACCACCCCCTTACTTCTCTTTTTGCCAATCTTTATTTTCTACTTTTGAAATTATTGCACTTATTAACAGAAAAAGAACAAAATTTACTCAATAAATTGCACATATATCTACACTCACAAAGTTAGAAAAAGGATTTAAAAGAAATATGCCACAATGTTCAGTATTCACCTATGGTTTATTTTTTCTTCCTGTATACTTTTATGGCTATTTAAATATTAACCATGTAAAATATTTTGTATAGTTTTGTGACATTCTAAATACTTTTATAACAACTCTAAAATTATTTGGCGAATAAAATAGTTTTACCAAGCATTCTGGCAGACAGAAAAGGAAAAAGTTTATGTGTCATTTCTTGAGTTTCAGAGATCAGTGATACTGAAGACATTCTATTTTCAATTATGTTTCCCTGAGCTAAATTAGATCTTGGTCCATTCAGGATATTTAAAATCAACCTCCATCATGTTCCCTCTAGTAAAATTTAAGTTCTTTTACTTACAGATTTTCAAACAGCTTTAACCTGTGCTTGATGAACAGGAAATTGATCAGATGTTCATATCTGCCTGGTACCCCTGCCCCAATAACTGATCTTCCACTGTGATACAGTTTTTCTCATTAATGTCAACACTTCTACTTCAGATATATGATGGAAAGTTCATAGGCTTTGGTGCCAGACTTACCATCTGTTTACTGGCATATAACACCTTAATCCTGTTGCTGTCTCTTGCTGAGACCCATTTATCGCCTCTAAAATGGGGTTAATAATTCTTACTATATTATTGACATGTTCAACACATAGCGAATGAAAATAATATTCATTATTTTACTCTTTTTTTACATCTTAGGTTATTTATTTATTATGCATGCAAGTCTTACATATTTTTATTGAAGTATAGTTGATTTACAATATTGTGTTAGTTTCAAGTGTACAGCAAAGTGACTCAGTTATATATATATTTTTTCCGATTATTTTCCATTATAGGTTATCACAAGATATTGACTATAGTTCCCTGTGTTACACAGTAAATCCTTGTTGCTTATCTATTTTATGTATAGTAGTTTGTATCTGTTGATCCCATACTCCTAATTTATTCCTCCCCCCTCCCTTTCCCCTTTGGTAACCATAAGTTTGTTTTTATGTCGGTGAGTCTGTTTCCATTTTGTAAATAAGTACTATTTGTACTATTTTTTAGATTCCACATATAAGTGATATCGTGTAGTATTTGTCTTTGTCTGACCTCACTTCGTATGATATTCTCTAGGTCCATCCATGTTGCTGCAAATGGCAATATTTCATCTGTTTTTATGGCTGAGTAATATCCCATTGTATGTGTATATATATATACCACATCTTCTTAAATCAGTCATCTGTTGATGGGCACTTGGGTTGTTTCCATGTCTTGACTATTGTAAACAGCGCTACTATAAACACTGGGGTGCATGTATCTTTTTGAATTCGAGTTTTCCTCTTTTCTGGATACATGCCCAGGAGTGGGATTGCTGGATCATATGGTAGCTCTATTTTTAGTTTCTTAAGGAACCTCCATACTGTTTTCCATAGTGGCTGTACCACATAATTATTATTCTTAATTATCCTTTAATAAAAGGGAAAGAGCAAACACTACCCAAAACATTCATATTTTACAGGGCAGTTATCTTTAATATTTACAAATGCACATGGAGTGATTGGGACTTTGAAACACCTAAACCTAAGGTCTGATGATGTGACATGTATGTAGCCACAAAGAAACCCATCTCTCATTTTCTGCCATGCTAGGAGTGAATGGTCCAACTAATAAGTGACAACCTGGGAGAGTGAGAAACAAGCAATTGATCTAGAAAGTCTCCCAGGTTTCTGATCTCAACTAGATGGATGGTGGTTCAGCAGTGTACACTGTTCTCTCCTTGACTGACTCCCCTCCAGTAAAATTTGTTCCAGGAAAGGAGCAATAACAAAGGTTGCCATTCGCTGAGTACCTACTGTGTGACAGGCACTTCATTCATTCTAGCCACAAACATTTATTGAGATCCAGCTTATGTTCCAGGCAGTGTTCTAGGGGCTGAGGATACACCAGTGAACTAAGCAGACTAAAATGTTTATAGTCTAGTGGGGAGAGGCGGGAATAAACAATTAACATAATAAATCAGTAAATTATGCAGTATGCTAGAAGAGAGGCATGTGATGGACAAACAGCAGGGAAAGGGAAATGAGAATGCTGGTCCAGGTGCGCAGTTCTATTTATTTTTTTTAATTGAAGTATAGTTGATTTACAGTGTTGTGTTAATTTCTGCTGTACAGCAAAGTGATTCAGTTATACATATTTATATATACATTCTTTTTTATATTCTTTTTCATATGGTTTATCACAGGATACTAAATATAGTTCCCTGGGCTATACATTAGGACCTTGTTTTTGATCCATTCCATATATAATAGCTTACATCTTCTAACCCCAACCTCCCACTCCATCCCTCCCCAAACACCTCCCTCTTGGCAACCATCAGTCTGTTCTCTATGTCCATGCATCTCTTTCTGTTTCATAGATCAGTTCATTTGTGTCATATTCAGATTCCACATATAAGTGATATCATATGGTATTTGTCTTTCTCTGTCTGACTTACTTCACTTAGTATGATAATCTCTAGTTGCATCCATGTTGCTTCAAATGGCAATATTTAATTCTTTTTTATGACTGAGTAATATTTCACTGTATATATATACCACATCTTCTTTATCCGTTCATCATCATGTCGATGAACATTTAGGTTGTTTCCATGTCTTGGCTATTGGATTAGAGTTTTGTCTGGATATATGCCCAGGAGTGGGATTGCTGGATCATATGGTAATTCTATTTTTAGTTTTCTGAGGAAGCTTCATACTGTTTTCCATAGTGGCTGTACCAGCTTACATTCCCACCAACAATGTAGGAGGGTTCCCTTTTTGCCACACTCTCCCCAGCATTTGTTATTTGTAGCGTTTTTAATGATGACCATTCTGAGTGGTGTGAGGTGGTACCTCACTGTAGTTTTGACTTGCATTTCTCTAATGATTAGTGATGTTGAGCAGCTTTT